TACTAGCAACCCCGCCTACTTTGTCAAATTAGTCCGGGTAGTAAAAAAATTTCAAAGATTAAAAATATGATTCGTTCCTGGAAAAATTTAAGTGTAAAAAACTACCTTTATGATTTTTTATCTTGATAAAAAATTATGAGCTGAAACACTAATGTTTATCTGTGATTTTTCAGAAATAAAAATGGGTCGAGTTCCTGAACCCGATTGCCCGGGTCAAGAGGACATCCTTGCACTAAATGAAAATCGTTCTCGTCAAACCAGACTGGGAGAGACACCGATAGAACGAAGGGAAAATATGTCACCATCTCCCAGAAGAAGACGAAGCAGATCCGCCGGAAGACCAGAAAATCTGAGTGAAATTCCCGATGGGCTGAGTCTAGACTACAGACACGAACTAAATCAAAATCGTTTTCGTCAATCCATACGTCAAGAGATACCGGTAGAACGAAGGGAAAATATGTCACCATCTCCCAGAAGGAGACGAGGGATCTCTGCGTCCGGAATAAGCAACCGAGCAAGGAGATTGGAAAATCCACGTTCAACTGCAACGAATGAGTCTTGTAATAGCGAAATAAAAAAAAAATTCCCGTTAAAAAAGAGACAAAACGAGGCTCAAACGAAAGAGACGAATCAAGAAATCACGAAGCTGAGTCACGGACCGAACTGTCCCAGGCAGATAGGGCTCAAATACCTTTCAAAGCTTTTAACGAAGAAAAAGAAAAATCAGGCTTGATCAAAGTCGATTTGTCCAAGATGTCCAAGAGAGAACAGAAAGCGATCAATGAATATCTAGATGATGAGAATGCAGTCGTACGAAATAGTTTAGCAAATTGGAAGCAATATAGGGATAAAAAAATCGGCCCCCTGCCACCAAGAGAGACCGAAACAGAATTTTACAGAAGACTCACGGATGGACAGATACCTTATCCGGTACCTTATACCGGCAGAGGCGTTGAAGAACAAAACGAAGATGACAAAGTTGAAGTAGTTGAAGAAGTTGACAAAGTTGACGAAGTCGACGAGAATTCGTAGAATGTAATAACGTTTATTGTATAAAAAATTATCTATAGCTATATTTTTGTTCTGTCGGGTTCTTTTAATAAAAAAAGTATATTATAAAAAAATGTTAAAAAGTAAATTAAAAATGTAAGAAAAAAAACTAAAACCAAAAAAGTAAAAATGTTTAAATAATGAAAAGTCGTAATTCAATGTAGTTTCCAAATATATAAACCAATTTGTGTGTATGTGCTTATAAGTTTATTATTCGCAGTGGATTGAATTGGAAAAAGAAAATAAATTAATAGTAAAATATACATAGTTTTTTGATAATATATAAACGATAACGAAAATGTTATATAATAACTATGCTTGGAGAATAAAATACAACAGTTTCTCAATATATAATTGCTGAAAATTATTACGTAATACTACGGCGTATGACGACGAAATTGAAATTAAAAATTTCGTACGTTCGTCTATGTTGCAAAACTTGGCTTGAATTGTTCGCTTTTTTCGCAGATCTCCCATAGAATGGAATGGAAATATTTTATTATTATTAAATACTTTCGATATACAACCACGTTACTCTAAATTAGTCAATTACAAATTTCAATTGTCGCTATTTTCAAGCTCTTGCACTAAAAAAATATTGTATGCAGCTTATATAGTTATTCATGAAAACTCGTTACAGCACTTGGGTTCAGTTCGTGCAGTAATTCCTTATATGCAGAAAAGTCTATTTGCATCCATTGCACAAAGCACTACTGCAGCACAGTAAAATAATTTTGCAAAGTACGCCCTAATAATTTTGCAAAATATACCAGTAATAGATAGCCCAATCGTCAAGTTTTTTTCCTTCCAAGATAAACAACCTCGATTCGTTCGTTACTTAAGCTTCAGTACGCCGTCCAATGTGCGCCATGGGCCTTGTTTACTGCGCACACTGTGGGCTGGCCCAAAATCCCCTCTTCGTTCCTATACTTTCTTACGTTCGCTACTTATATACTTCGAAGAGCGCTTGAAGCTTAGTTACGATTCTGGCTTCGCTGCAGACGTTTGATTGTGCTATATAAAGTTCTTAGTTTTTCATTCAGAAGTTTTTAAAGTTCCGCGCACTATGGCGTATTCAATCTTTAAACAAAGTCACTCGTCTGTGAATTCTTCGACACCGCCAGTGATGGAGCAGTCACTGATCACTGTACAACCACTGATACAGCCTCCGACGTCAATGAACATTTGTACTGCACCAATACAACATCAACACATTTACGCATATGCATCCGCACAGAAACTAGCATACTTGAAACAATTAGGATTAACGATTCGTGGTAAGTTATAACTCATATTATGGTGACAAGTGTCCTAATATTTATACCGCTCACCCGCACTCATCCCTCATCTATATTGTTGTATGTATTGTAATGAGCCGTGTCGCCACTAGGTGGCACGGAGTAACAGTACGGTTCACGCAAGTAAGATTGTTAAGTCTGGGCGTTATATAGACCCGAGAAAGACTAGTTTTTAATATTCCGAATTTTACACATTCTGAATATTTATATTCAAATTTTTTTTCGTGATAGAACAATTCACTCATAAACAATTTTATTTCAGATGATCAACCACTAGACCGCACAATTAAGAAAGAATTTGAAGAAAAATTCTCAGAAAAACTCGAAAAAAAATCTAAAGAAAAGATCAAAAAATATAAAAAATACAGTCCAGAAGCCCCAAAAATAGCTATTAGATTAGCGTTTAGAGGTCATTCAAAACCTATGGTCGCCGCACTTTGCGGTGTACCCTGACGTACATTGCAGCAAAAAGTAAGAGAAAGAAGAGATGCAGTTGAAGCACTACTACTACTACAGTACGAGCCACAAAAAGACGAGAAAGGGAGGAGAACATTAATTAATTTCTCATATTCTTCCGATGATGCTAGAGAAAAAATATAAAATTCTGTCCCATGAACATATTTTACTATTCTTCCATCGCCTTGGGGAATATTAGGGTAAAGAAATACTCGATAGAAGAAGCCTTTGGCAATTATAACAGTGTAAAGAAACCCACAGGACGCAAATCATATGTACTTATGGCTGGGAGCCGAGCCACTTATACAAGTACCCTGGTGGGGTCCCGTCGCTTGTAGGAGTCGATGCGACGCCTAGCGGCCGGTGGTGAAGCTCGCAGAGGCCGGATTCGTATTCGGATCCACGCCGCGTTTCGGTCGCTCACGAATCCTTGCTGTATCGTGTAGGTAGGCAGAATAGAAGAGTAAAAATGCTGGGTTTGCAATAACTATGCAACTAACATGCATTAGTTTTTCTCCAAGTGCTTTTGGGTACTTTTACAGCGAGTTACAAATTTAACGATTCGATTAAATAATGCTGCGGTGTGGAATCCTGAGAGAGTTGACGTGAAATGCTAAATATGTTAAAATAAATAAAAAATTTCACTTTTTTTACAAAGTGTAGCACGTTTTTTTTGTAAAAGTGATATTCTTTGTAAAAAAAACGTCGAAATATGTGGTGAGATTTCCATTTGTCTCGCAGTCATCAATATTGTATCCTTGAGATTTAAAAAAAAATATTCTCTACTTAATATTGCAACGCTTCTTACAAAATAGGACATTTCTTTACACAACTCCCATTTTTATGGAAAATCGTGTCCAATTTAAACCATATGGGAGAGATGAAAAAAGCATCATCTAGTATTACTAAATTATTCAGAAAAAAATTAGATTAGTATTTAACAGTAAAAGCACACAAAAGGATGGATGGTGTCTGAATGACTTGCTGTAACCAAATCCAAAGCTACAGTCAGATATTGCAATCATCATTTTGCTATGATGATTCTGCAAGGTATGTGTTAACTCTGACTTATTAAACATTTTTTGAAAGTTATATGCGTGAACTGGCAAAAAATAGTATGAATGTACTCAGCATTATTTTTTTATTTAATTTTACTTAAAATTACTCATGATCATGATATGGAAAAGCTTCAGCCCTGTTCGTAGAGCCTAAATTTATTTAACGGGTGGCTAGCATTGGTAAGGAATCTTATGAAAAGCGCCATATGTACTGAAAAGATGGTCTATAATTTATTTTTTTCAATGCTTCCAAGTATAATTTTTGCTGATTACATCTCAGCAATGCAGGTGGTAGTTTGTTCTTTTGAAGCAATACAAAAATATTTAAATGACAAAAAAAGATTTTAAAATTCAAAGGATTTGTTTTCGTAAATCGGTGAATGTATTAACTACAAAATATTAAAAAAAATAAGCATGTGTAAAATCTAGCTAAATTTGCTTATGTTCATCTTACAATTATAAGCCTATAAAAAGGGCTAGAAGAGATTTTTAATTAATTGTATATGGCTATAAAAGCTGTTAACATTTTTTTTCTAAGAACAGGCACAAAAGTATTTTTCAATCTCTATTTGAACTTCAGTCAATTAGATGCATAAAAATAGTTAGGCATATAAATTCCTTTGACTTTCAATTACATGAATTAGTTGTCAATAGGATAGATTTTATAGTGATAAATGTTGATTAATTATAGATAAATATTCTTTAATTCACTCACCTTAAAAAACATTACGCTTTAACAAGTTATCACATAATACTACAACAAAACAAAAATATTAAAGTCGTGAAAACACTAAATCGAAAAGAATTCTAAAAACTTTATGTATTAAGTATTAATTGTTTCCTAAAGCATTACAATACTCAGTTTTTATCAAGAAAACTTCTTATCAACAGAATAATATCAGTAGTAATAGTGATCAATCAGTCAAGTAATATCTTTACTAAGGGGTTGCTTTTTTAAAAATAAACACTACAGCAGAACGTTCGAACTATACATTTTTGATCAGTTCTCCTCGCTTTGTAGTTCGAAACTTCGAACTCGAAGCGCCCTGCGCCACACGGGCTATCGGCCGCGGTGCGCAAGTCTGGCGGGAAAAATAGTAGCATATCCCCGGCCTGCCGCCGGATTCGCCAACTCGTGAGCGGTTGGCGCGGCGCGGCTGTTACACTGTACGCTTGAATAAGAACATTCGACCGTGTTGTGCTCTCGCAGGCCGCGCATTCGACTGTATACATACAGCAGTTATAGCCGGCACCGACCTGTCTTTCTGCACGTCGAATGTTTGTATCGTCCTCTGTGTTACAACAATTTCAAAGGATAATTGTCGTGTTGTCGAGTGTCGTCCATTAAAGCCACAATTACTATTTTACCTTGCATTTACCAAGCGCAACGAGAGATTCACCCGCAGAGATGGAGAACCCCACAGCAGTGCCTTCGAACGCGAGCAATTTTGTTGCGTCAAAAAAGGAAATCAAGCGCGAGGAGATCGACCTTTGCGAGGACTCGGGCCTTTCCTGGACCACATTTACGTCCAATGCAGGTTGGTGTCTGACCTTTTTTTTTTGTCGAACCCCGTGTCCTTGTCAATTTATTTATTGGTTATCCTGACGCTGCAATCCCGGAGGCACCGAAACAAAACAAGAGCGCGCACGATACCTACCCCTTGCCAAACATCCATGCTTCACGCCCATTGTCGGATTTTATGCTTTTACCGATGGAAAACTCGATTTTTCCTTTTCTTATCGTAATCGATCTTACACCACGAACATGCATGATACAAAATTGTAAACCGCAATGTTATACATCCTGACTGTACGCGCTAATATCTTGTCGTTGCACGCCAGCAGAATCCAAATCGTCGTTATCACCCATCGCAATCGGCAAAGATGATAGCACCGTGGGCACGATTGGCGAAGGTATCCAATTCGCCGATGCCAGCCGAATTGCCGAGGAACAGGCCGCGAAATTGGCCGACATCAATTCGAGAAAACGAGTCAAGACGAAACAAGAAGAGGCTTTGAAAGCCGAAAAAGAAGCCTTTGAAAGAGAAGTGCAAGAAACTCAATATAAACGTCTCACGCATTTGTTGAATCAGAGCAAAGCAATGACTACTTTTATTATGAAGAAAATCGATAAACCAGAGAAAAAAGGTGGTAAGAAGAAGAAGACCACAGAAGAGGACAAAAATGACTCTGGCGAACCAGCAGCAAAAAAACTCAGAAGCTCAAATAAGTCAGCAACTGCCCAGAATGAGAAGACTTCTGTAAGTTGTTTTTTATAATTTTTTTGCCTCTTATACAAATTCAAATATTTGTTTTATTTCTAGACTACAAAGAGTAACCGTGGAAAAAAGCGTAAACTCAACTTGAGTAATGAAGAGATTCAACAAGAATTGGATGAAATGTCTGACCATGAATCTGAGTCGCAATCGCAAGAAACACCTAATGATTTTTCAACAGTCAAATATTTCGAGGGTGAATTAAGACCCTATCAAAAAGATGGTGTCAATTGGCTTAAATTATTGTATGAAAATGGTTTAAATGGAATATTGGGTGATGAGATGGGTTTGGGTAAAACCGTTCAAGTTATTGCTCTCTTTGCTTACTTGATGGAACAAAAAATAAGTGGGCCATATTTAGTCTTAGTTCCATTATCTACCTTACCAAATTGGGTATCAGAATTTGAGCGCTTTGCGCCACAACTTCCAGTTGTGTGTTATTATGGCAATCAAAAACAACGAATCCAGATACAACCAAAACTAAAAAAAAAAACAAATCTTTCTCCAAATTTTTCTACTCTACCTATTGTTCTTATGAGTTATGAAATGGTTCAATTTGATAAAAATTTCTTAAGACAATTTAACTGGAGATATATTGTGATTGATGAAGCACAACGAATTAAGAATTACGAAACTGTCATGGCAAGGTAAAGTAATTCAAATGCAATTCTATTATTATAATACATTATTTTTGAAATTTATTAAACATGATATCTTTTCTTGCAGAACGCTAAAAACATTCAATTCGTATAATCGCTTGCTATTGACAGGAACGCCTCTTCAAAATAACTTGTCAGAGTTGTGGTCATTATTAAACTTTCTTTTGCCAGACATTTTTAGTGATTTGGCAGTGTTTGAATCTTGGTTTGATGCCCGAAAAGTGCAGGATCAAGCAGGGAAACAAGAATTACTTGAGCGGGAACAAAAAAATCATGTTTTGTCAATGCTCAGAGAAATATTGCAACCATTCATGTTGCGACGACTCAAGGAAGATGTTTGTCCAGACATTCCACCAATCAAAGAAGTTGTGATATATACACCATTAACTGCCATTCAACTAGATATTTATTCATCTATTATCAAAAGAGATTATGCTTCATTAACAAAAAAGGAAGAAAAATCGTTGATAGTGGATGTTGATGGTGTGAGACCTAAAAGAAAATGTACCCAGAAGATTGACTTTTCTTCATACTTCTTCAAACATCCCCATGATAAAGATTCATTAATTCCTCCCAGTAAATCGGGTAGTGATCAAAGTCAAATAGTTAATTCTCATACTTTAAACATGGTAAAAATGCCTGGTGAAAATTTGGATGAAAACATTGATGAATGGAATAAGTATACGAATGTAACAGAAGAAAATGTTGACTATTTGATTCACCTTACATTGAATGACGGTAATACATTATCAAAAAAAATACCATCTAAAAATAATTTTCATACAGTTATATTTTCAATTTTTATATTTTATTTTAGTAATGATGTATAGACATGTAGTCAACCACCCATACTTGATCCATCATCCACTTAACGATTGTGGCTTACCTGTAGTAGACGAAAATGTAATAAAAAAGAGTGGAAAGCTATTGGTTCTAGACGCAATGCTTAAAAAATTGAAAGCAAGAGGGCACAAAGTATTGTTGTTCTCCAATTTTAAAATGGTTTTAGATATTATAGAAGATTATCTGTCTTTGACAGATTATGATTATTGTCGACTAGACGGTAACGTGAAATTCGACGATAGAAAAGATCAAATAAATAGATTCCAGAGCGATCCAAATTGTTTTCTGTTCATGCTCACTACGAGATCTGGATCTGTTGGCTTGAATTTGGCCGCTGCAGACACTGTCATAATTTATGATAGTGATTGGGTAAGCACAAAGAAATATTTAAAAATTTACAAATATTTCAATTTTTTTACATTATAAGCTATTTTTTCCATATTATTTCAAAATGTTTTCAGAATCCACAATGTGATCTACAAGCAATGGCTCGATGTCATAGAATTGGACAGAAAAAGCCTGTTGTAGTTTACAGAATGTGTTGCAAAGGAACAGTTGATGAAATGATTATTAAGCGTGCAAACGCTAAACGCTTTTTAGAAAAAGCTGTGATTTCCAAAGAGAATATACTGGCTAACCCAGAACAGGGTTTAAAAGTCTTGAAAGAAATGCTTGAACAAGATGCTTTCACAATCGCTGACTACAAAAATCAAGGTATCCTATTTTTAATCTATAATGAAAATTGATTAGCTCTAGTGATGAATTTGTAAATATCATTTTTTAGTATACACTGATGCCGAATTGGATGAGTTACTGGATAGAAGCGACATGGTATTTCAGAGTATCAAAACTGAAGATGAACATTAAGATCAAAGCGTTACCCGTTTCGAGATTTCAAATATTGTTAAGTTTTTTAGGCATTTGAATTTGTTTGTAAATGTAACTATCAAAACTGATGATATTATAAGTTTAAGAAAAAGAATTATTTTTGTACGTCGATTAAAAACGAAAGAAGTATTGAGTCAAATCAGATATAAGTAATATAACTTGTACTTCTAGAAATGTTTGTTCATAAGCTTAAGCGCTATAATAATTCATTGTGAAAAAAGTGCGTTTTGTTTCCTACCTGTGATTAATATCCAATGTTATTTTGATTACATGACATGTAAACTGTTTTTGTTATTTTAAGTACTCACATAACGATGAAATTGAAATAATCGAATTTTTGTATATGTTTGAATTCAAAGAATTTGTACAAAAAAAAAAGTATCGGCTCGACGTTTTTTCGTTGTATTACAATTTTAATTAAAAATTGATTGTTATTCTAATCACTAAAATAACTTGAGATGAATAAACTTAAATCACGAAAAGTGTTCCTTTTTGTAACTGCAATAAATCACCTCCAGAATCATCCCAAACGAAAAAAAGTTCTTGACTAGCAAAAGAACTTTATATTCGGCCAAGCTGACGAATTATCGTTCTAACATTTAGAATATAGTCATTTTCGTCCATTTCTTTTCTTGAAATTTTACGTTCGATCGATTCGAACATTTTCATCTCATTGTTCATCAACTTACATTAAAGCTGCCGATGTCAAGTTTAAAATAGGATACATGAACGAGCCGCCCTAATGGTCAAGCAGGATGTATGAAGATTTCAATTGTAAGCGATACTTTGTTTACGTTCAACGACTCTCCGATGCATTCCATCGGAGTTTGTATACCTCAAGGGCACCTGACCTGTTCAAACCGCTGCATTGCCTGAACTCGCGAATTTCGTCAAAGATATTCTTAGCGCCATTTGAATACGTCTGTTTTTATCGCGTAGAAAGTGTTTTAAACGAGTAGTTTAGAATCAGTCCGGATAGAAATGGAATTGGTGAGTCGTTTTTTTCTCTCCCAAATTCAAATTTCACCTATTTTCATTTCGAATTGTTCGTTAACTCCGGATTCGAATTTTGCAGCTATCGGATCAAGAACGTCAGAATGACGAACTCTTTGCTCTGGAGTGTATCGATATTGCCGACGAATTCAAATATAAAAGGAACTCCGATTCTCGTTTCGAATGCTCCTTTTCTTTACGTTGCAAACTGGTAAAGAATAATATCGAAATTTTTCAAAATTTTCATCAAACGTTACAGAGTGAATGTGCAGACCAACATTTTGGGCATGTTCTAAAGGATGAAAACGACAACATTATCCACAGTGATGAGCCATCCGAAACGAGCAAAGGTGAGAAAAACATCATTCGTTATTTGCCACCTGTCAGGCTGTATGTGCAGCTTCCTTCAAACTATCCATCAGTAAGTTGTCCAATGTTCAATTTGGCCATAAATTGGCTGGCACCATGGGTGGTCTCAATCGTATGTCAAAAACTGGATGATATGTGGACTGCGAATGAATATTCTGAAATTCTCTACACTTGGATTGATTTTTTGAAATATGAATTGCTAAATTTCCTCAACATTATTGATTATATAGATGTATCATATTTGTATGGTCTATTCTTGATGCCAGAAAATGATGATTTGTTAGACCTTATGAAAATTAAGGACCGTAGGATAATTTATGGAGGATTGTTTCTCGATCCTATAGAGAAATTATTAGAAAACAATAGATTATGTGATCATGAGGAATTTAAATCTAATAAACATGAGTGTAGTATATGTTTCATTGAGAATAAAGGAACGGAAAGCTTAAAAATGGAACCTTGCAATCATATCTATTGTGAAAAGTGCATGGAGGAATATTTAATTGTAAAGATTAATCAGCGAGATATTCAAAATATTACTTGTCCAACTATGAATTGCTTAATAATTATAAATTCTAATATTATAAAACAATACTGCCCTCCAGAGTCATACGATAAATATGAGCAATGCTTATATGAGCTTCAGTTATCAAAACAAGGAAAAGTTGTACATTGTCCAAGAAAATTTTGCCAGAATTTAGTGCTTGTTGTAGAAGAAGATGGCTTAGCATCATGCAAAGCATGCCAACACCATTTTTGTGCATTTTGCTTCAAAGTATGTATATTGTCTTTAAATTTTACTCATATTTGTCATGAATATTCATAATAATTTTAATTTGATTTTGTTTATAATAGACATATCATGGTGTTATGCCTTGTGACATGAAAAATCAAGAAAAACTAAAATTAATTCAAGAATATCAAAATGGTGACTATAAAAAGAAAAAGTATTTAGAAAAAATACATGGCAGAAAACAAATAAAGGAAATTGTTGAAAATCAACTTTCTACAGATTATTTGAAGGTATTTTTTTGTGATACGAATAATAATATTCACAAAAACAATTTTTTACGAAAAAAAATTTTTTTACATTACAGGAACGTACCAAAAAATGTCCCACTTGTGGTATTCTAACAGCCAAAGTTAGCGGGTGTAATTTGTTAAATTGTTCTTACTGTTACACAAAGTTTTGTTGGATCTGTAATTGTAAAATAGTTATTAAAGATGGTTACGATCACTTTAAATCTACTTCTATTGGTGCCTGCAAAGGTAGATTGTTTGATGATGTTGATGAATATGAAGATTTTCATGAAGATTCTTCAGAATACGATGAATTCGAAAGTGACTATTCAGATGATAATTTAGATGCTTTAGACGATTTTGAATTGGAAGAAAATCTTACATATTTCCATGAAGAAACTGAATTAAAAATCTAACAATTTGAAAAATTGTGTTTTGAATTTTAAATTCAATAATTGTAAATGATTGAATTATTTTTGAAAAATTTTTTGGTTTGTTATTTTCTAAAGTAATAGATTTTATCTATTTTCTAAAATTTGTATATACAATTTTTTTTACAGATATCAAAATTGTATCTCATCTTCTATTATATAATTTAAATTTATAAAAATATATAACAATTAATATAAATAGATATACAAGTCAACTTTCATAGAACTCTACTTATTGCTCAATTTGTATGAACACAATAATTCTTAAATTTCATCTCGGTAATGAACTTCAGCCTCAACATTAGCACTAATATTATTTACTTCTTCTTCTTCTGAATGTTCTGAAGTGATTGATAACGCTAATTCATTTCTCTCCACATAAACTGGAGAATCTGAAACAAATATCAGCTAATTGAAAATTTGAAACATTTAAATTGAATCAGAAACTCAGCATTCAAAATTTCTTACCAGCACAAACTGGATTACATTCTAACAGCCTTTTTCTTCTTTGAATTTTTTCTATATTCCATTCAAACCAGATTGGTCCAAAAATGTAATAACCAATTCCACTACCAATGGCTATGGCGATCATCATATAAATATTGAAAGACATTATTGAAAGCATTAGAATATATCCAAGACCAACTTGCAAGGACCAATGGATCACTTCCACAATCCATTTTAACCAGAGGTCACTATCAATTTAATTCAAATATTAAGAAAATTAATCAATTACTATTATAGTTAATGAATAAAAATTACCTTTTCAGACTTTTAACACTATGTGATCTTTTTGAAACTCTCGAAAGTAATGAAGAACTATCATTATGATGTCCAGCGACAACTATTTGGTTCTTTTGTTTGGAAATGGCACGTAATTTAGCTTGAGACAGTTTCATAGCTTCATACAATATACCTAGCGCTACTAAACCTAAACACGTAGATAAAAGACCCCATGTTGTTGTTATATCATATCCATAGAATAAAAAATCTTTTAATTCGACACCAAACCAAAGCCACTTGTGCATCTGCAAAAAATTTAAAAATACATCTTAAAAAAATGTAAAAAATTGTAAGTAAAATATTTCATGCATTTACAATTGTATGTAATAAAATTTGAATTTTTTAAATAAGTAAAATTTCAAACTTTCAGGTTATACTCAAATTATATTAGGCAAAAACAACAATTGTAAAAACATACTGATCAATTGTATGCAAGATATCACAGAATTGATAACAGGATGTACACAAGTGATGACTGTAAGCTCGACTTTATTCTTACTATTCAATAATCTTAATAAACTAAAAAATTATCTATTGATAACATTTACCTTATCTGTTTATTCAAACTCTTTCATAAGAATGAAATTAATGAAATTAAAAATTAAGGTAGCCTGGATTGACATCAAATGCAGAGCATAATGCTTTCAGACCAGCGTGCTTCTTGGACAACGATGAGCACAGCGAGTGATTGCAGTCAAAGGCATCGAATGCATTCGAAGAGCAAACATTGCATTTCTGAATTAGAGCTGCTGCAAATTGCACTTACGTTGTGCGAGAGCTAAACTGTCGCAGTGAAAGGGGAGACCGAACGAGTCCACATACTGCTTCCGACTGCTTGCCCCGCCGACGAGAGTCTGGAAAATGTTGAACGCACACGATCAACGCGTAAGCATAATCTTTCGTACGTACTATATAACGAACGGAGAACCGTTAGCAGCGAGATACGACAATCAAAGGTGTATTACGTACCTCTTGTTTTCGTGTTTGCTCTTCCGATTGCGTCCGCCGGCCAGCAGATCGAGTTAATGTATTCGTTCTCTCGTATTATATTCGAACGCAGAGCTACGCCGAAGGATGAGCGATGATAATCTCGCCTCGGTGCAGTCGTATTTTTATCGTCGATAACATTATACTTGTCAGCCGACGCGTGCTCGCACACTCTCTCTACTTGTATTATGCAGTGCGAGCGCTGCGAAAAATTATCGTTGTATTTTTATAGACGCGACGACGTGCAGTCCGCGTGCTCATCGTTATAACAATAACGCGTGCAGCACGCTCGAAATGCTTTCGCCTGAACTACTGCTACCGCACCGAATGTGCTAGTAATGTGCAATAGTACAATAGCATAAGTGTCACGTCGCGTGGCGCAGCCTCCGCCACGCGTGCTATCTTCGATGTCGTGTTTGTTTGTTTTTGTTTTTTTTTTTCACTCTTTCTCTCGCGATGTGACTCTCGCTGTCTTTCTGAAATTGCGTTACACGCGTGAGCGTCTGCTAGAGACCAGCTGACCGAGTGGAGTCTGTCGCAGACAGCTCGCGAGAGTCGGCGCGTTTTTCAACGTATGGGTCAACGACCTTTTGCAGTAAAATGTCTCTCCGCGAAATGATCGAATTAGACGTTTGCAACAATCGCATCGGATAACTTGAACAAATTCAAAATTGTTCCATTAGGTAAACGAAAACGTCGATGACGCTAGTTTAAAAATCAATTTCCTCCCGTATACGTTCGGATCGAACGTCGATTAAATAACAATGGTGCCCCTATTAACTTTCATCAATAATCGTTTAATAATCACCGCAGCGGAAGTCGGTATCGATATCCGCAAAACAATCGAGAGCAAATGTTATAATACTCTTCGGCGGCAACAATCGACGCATCATCGAGCGGATGCAGGCAGTCGATATGCAGACGCGTCCGCGCGACGTTTAATAATTGCACAGCTCGGCTGCAGTCATCCGCGAGCGAGAGAGAGAATAGATTCGCGCGTCCTTCCGATTTTAATTCAAAAATATAATAATCCACTCGAGCAGCTCAACGAGATCTGTGCTGTACTGCATTGCAATATAATGAGTATCTATCGTTGTTCACTCCAAGCAAGGTTGCGACGTTGGTATACAGTTTCAAATAGATATCGCGCACCTCTCATTCAATCGACTCCTCGACGCGTGTAAACAAACACAAAGCCCTCTCGTAGCTCGTCATTATATTTTGTACTTTTTTTTTTTGTTGCATCGGCTCTATATACCTCTGCGCTGCATATGCCTATTATAGAAGCGAAACTAAGCAGCTTCGCGTGCAGTACATGGCAGCTATCACGTGTAAGTGCACACTTACTTATAAATTCGGATTGCTCTCGGCAACGCGTGTACTCTTCGTGCATAGCACCCTATCTTCGGGGCAACTTCGCGAAACCGTGTCTGTGTGCACATAATGCAATATGCAAGGTTTTCTCTCCACTGTGTGCTCTACATACCTATATATATCGCAGCCACTACATGTCTCTCGGGTCGGTGGAGCAGCAGTGAGCAGAGCACTGAGAGGCAGCGGAGCAGACTGCTGCTGCTGCTGCCTATATAAAAGCGCGCGCGGGAGATCAATATAACCCAGTGCGTCGTCTGGTCTGCACGAGTTAGGTAGCGTATATATATCGGAAAACGTACTACACATTATTATTGTTGTACGCCCTCGACGTGGTTGTGTTTACATTGTATTAAATGTTAATTACAAAAGTTGTTGGCTGTCATCGAGTTGAGTGATGTCGCGCGGATCGTGTTCGCTACTACTCCCTCGATTCGCCTTTAATAATCGTTCAAGCTGTCAGTGATTCCCGAAAATGCATAATATGTGATAATCAGCAGTAAAAAAAAGGAGGCATCGTCGATTAGTAGATTAATAGATGCGAAATCTGCTTTTCAACAATATGTAAGTGTATTGTCAGTTTTTATGAACTGTTATTTATTTGAATGACAGCTATAACTTTGCTGCTGTTGGAATTATTTAATGATTATTTGGTTTTTTGTTTAACAGGTAGTCGAATCATTTATATTTGACATAAACCAAGGTTGTTATTAGTCATTAAGGCATATACTATTATGTTGTATGAAATTCCATTGCATTATTAATAAGGTATGATTCATCTTTAACTTTATTTAAAATAATAATTTTTAAATGTACTTATAATTTAAAATTTTTTCAGAACTACAAAGTAGCATAATGGCCAAAAAAGAAAGTTCTTCTTTGACAAGGGAGGACTTTGAGGCTGGTCCTACAAGTTGTGATGAAATAGAGCCAAATTTATTCTTAGGTAATTTGACAGCTGCTACTGACATAGAGTGGCTGAAGAAAACAAAAATAACGCACATTCTCACTGTGGATTCATGTCCATTGCCAAGGAAAATTCAAGATGCATTACCAGATATCAAGCTCAAATTCATGCAAATGGCAGACATGCCAAGGGAAGATCTTCTTACTTCGTTTAATGATTCCAATCAATTTATAGAGAGTGCTTTAGAGTCTGGTGGTAAAATATTGGTGCATTGTTACTTTGGTGTATCTCGTTCAGCCACTATTGTCATTGCCTTCATTATGAAAAAGTACAATTTACCATTTGATAATGCTTTTGAGACTGTTAAAAAAAAGAGACGCTTTGTCGGTCCAAATCCTGGCTTCATTGCTCAACTTCAGCTTTACGAAGAAATGGGCTTTACAATTGATTGTACAAATATTCAGTTTAAAATGTACAGGCTGCAGATAGCAGCTGACAAGGTAAGAAAAGCTAGAATCTTGCCACAAAGCTACATTGATCTTATCAAACCAGATCCTGCTTTAAACAAAACGCACCCAGAGCCTACTGTATATCGCTGTAAAAAGTGCCGTAGAGTTGTTGCTAATGCCAGTAATGTATTACATCATAAGCCAAAAGAGAAGCAAGTTTGGCGTCACATTAGTAAAAAGTATGATAAAACAGAAAAACCAGAAAAAACTGAGAAGAAAGTAGAGGAAACTCCAAAAAAAGAAGATGAAGTTGATAAATCACAACCTTGCAATCAAACATATTTTGTTGAACCATTGGCATGGATGCCTGATATTTTACACAAAGTTGATGGTAAATTAAATTGCCCAAAGTGTTCATCAAAACTTGGCTCTTTCAGTTGGATATCAGGGTCTCAATGTCCATGTGGCAGCAAAATTGCCCCAGCATTTTATCTTATCCCATCAAAAGTAGATTGGAGCAATGTTGTCCAAAATGTCCTATCAACAGTGTAGTTTTGTTATATGCACTTTGTTATCATTCCAAATATCTAGTTTAAGAAAAGTTTCATTAGAATATTATCAAAATATTTAAGCCACTTGTAAATTACTACTGGACGGACAAACTACATTCTAAAATGTTTTGCATAAATTTAAGATGAAAGAATTTAAAATGGCACTCGTTAAAAATTTAATCAATTCTCTAAAGTATTTTGGCAAAAAAAAAAGTTGCAAAATTATATTCCAATATTACAGGCGCAAGCAGCCTATGTTTAAACGGATGAAAAATGTTATTACAAAAACTATCAAACAGAGTAATCTAAAAGAAAAGTAATTTTTAAATCGAGCACGTGTATAGAACAATATGAGACTTTTACCAAGGCGGGTCTAAATTAAATTTAAGCATGATCCATTACAATTATAGCAATTAGCTAGCTAGATTCAAGAAAAAAACTGACTGAAGTAGTATTAACGCATAGAATATTTCAGTTATAAATTTGGAAGAAACGAAAAAAAAAACCACTCGTGAACGTTGCATAAAACGTAAAGCAACCATCATTTCTAATTCAATAAAACGTACAATATGCTGATGTGCCAAATTCGATGCTGAAAAAATAATGAAGGTTTTACAGCCGAAAACAAAGTGAGACAGAAAAATGACAAGTTCGAATCATAATATGTAATATAAATAAAAAAAAAAAAAAATTATAACGTCTTCGCGACTACGCAGCAGAAAAAAAAACCAGTTTCAATTAAGGACGATCGTTGTTGAGAAAGGAAGTTTTTCTATATTGTTTTTTTTGTTACAATACATCTTTTCACAAAGTACAATTATTTTGCTAATCTATATATTATATATTTCAAGTGAGAATACTTGCGTTAAGTTATTAACAAATGGATATATTATTAAAAAATAAAGTGAACCATTACGAAATCGTTATCGACAAATATATGTACACATTTCTTTGGTGCATCTTTATTTATTCCACCGACATGATAAATCTATATCTCGCATCGTTAATCGAACACTTGAGTTTTACAATTTGCGTTATAAATAAAATATATAGTATTTATATTATGTACAGGCCGCTTCTTTGGTTTTCACCAGCAGCGGACGTAGAGAAAGTTAAACACGCTACACGCAATTATATGCACGCTTAAAATTTCTAAATTCACTCGCTTTCGTTTAGTTCTTTTATCATAGCACCTGAGATTACTTTTTTAATTGCCTTTAGTAAATTTACACAAAAAAAAAAGAGAAAAAAGAATTGCGCGCAGCGATCCTCTCACATCGTCGCGTGATAGCCGCTCTGCGCACCGGAGCTCGTCGTCGCCGTCGTCGCGTACTGCGGATGAGCAGCCGCCGATCTCAGTCGGCTGGTCAGGTTGCTGCCGCTCGGGTGCAGATGATGATGGTGATGATGAAAGACGTTGCCGGCTATGAAAGCCGCCGCAGCCGCGGCCGAACTGACGAAGCAGCTGCTCGTCGACGACGCCGTGCTCGTTGTCGTCTGTGCGGTCGACGATGCAGCAGCTATGCCATTATTGCTGCCGTAATGCTGCTGCATCGACGCTCGCCAGTAATCGCCCACGTAGCTCCCGTAGCCGCTCGTCGTCGTCGACGCCGTTTGAAAGCCGTGATGATGCTGATGGTGATGATCCATCGGCATCGCGTCGACGCTGTTATTATTATTATTGTTATTGTTGCCGTTGATCCCGCACGAGGTCGTCGATACGATCGGCGATCGATGTATCGGCCTCAGCGGCAGACTCGTCGTCTCCAGGTCCGCGCGGCCGATCTGCAGGCCGCAGGAGGAGCCGCCGCGGCCGACGGTCAAGCTGCGCTCGTTCCGGCGAAACTTGGCCCGACGATTCTGAAACCAGACCTATGCGAATTCGCGCGTTCAATGATAATTATATATATACGACTGCGACCGTGCGGTGGTGGGCCGGCAATTGAAATTTTAGATCTCGTTTCGACAATGGCTAATCGCACAACGTAAAGGGTTTGTAGCCGCGCGACACACCCCCGCCCAAAAAAACTCGATGCGTATAGAGCTGACCACACGGAGGCTATTCGACGCGTGCCACATTATATATATGGTATAGAGGCATATTATAGGCGCCCCCGTTGTATAGCAGCTGTATTATATAATATAATAAGTTGAAAGTCTAATTACATTCGCATATACGTGCGCGCGCGTGTGTGTATATACAGTGGTCGTCGCGTAATTACCCACATTGCGCTCCGAATAATGAAAAAAAAAATTACGACGGTACATCGCTGACAGCTCGCACCGACACGTGCGTGGTCAACCGAAATTTTCATCGCGCGATGCATTTTGTTAATATACTCATAATGCCTGCTTTATATTATGTAGTATTGCGCGTGCCACGTGGATCGACCTACACACAGAAAAAAGCGTCGAATTGCGATGAGTCCGTGTATCATATATACGTGCCACTTTTTTTTCAACCCCCTTCAATTAGCTACTGTAATGTAAAAGCGACCGCAAATTCCTAATGCCGATTGCACAATTGCGACTAGGTGTGTGTGTTTCATTGTACTTGACTGTGTGTTAATTTGTATATAATGTGCTTGCGGTGTACGTGTGAGTGTAATTTTAATTTTTTCTCATTCATACGCTACTTTCCGACGGATTGAGTTACAATCAAAGAAGCAGAAAAAAAAGACAAAAAAAGTAAAGGTCTGACAAAAACGGAGCTCGCGCGCAGCACCAGATGTTGTCCCGGCGCGATCCGAAACTCAACGTCGTACGCAATAATCGGTACTATACATAAAATACGCTTGGTGCAGTTTTACGTATACGCAGTACACGAGCACGACAAAACGAAATCGCAGATTCTTACAAATAGGGCCGAGTTTCTTCAAAGCATATACCTTATACGCTGCTCGCGTACGCGTCAGCTTCCTATCATCGCGATGACAGGGTCGCCTCTCTCGCTAATTATCATTATTATTATACGTACGAATAAGAGCTAGCTATAGCTAGCTCATAGCGTCTGAGCCTCTTGCGGTGCAGTCTTGCCGCGCGCGCGTCTTGACAGAGGCCGGACAGCGTGACGGCTCCTATCCTATATATGCTGGCACCGCGTATACATTCGGTGGTGTTGCTCGTGCAAAACGCAGCTCGTGTCTTCGAGTATGTGTATAATCCGACACTGCTAAGGCCGCTGCTGCTGCTACTCGTGTCAAAAAGACCGTATGTGCGTGCAGCGCGTATGTATACGTATTATATACCGAGAAAGTCGAAAAAAGGTCGCAGCTGACTAACGCACGGCAAGCGGAGATAAAAGGGCAAAAAAAAAAAGCAAGAGAGAAAAAAAGGATCTAGGGCTCGCTCGAGATGTGTCCCCCTCAGATTTTTCGTCTCTTATTAGCATCAACGAGTGGTTGATCGATACTACGAGCACTTGATAAAATAACTACTATTTTATACTTTGACGCGTCCTCGCACTACTGGCTATCGATTCGATATTGTATTTCGCGTTGCACAGAGAAAACAAAACAAAAAAACGCGTCCACTCGACTGGGCCTCGGTATTTCGATAACTCCAATGTTAATATCAATCGAAATTATACACCCGAGTAATTTTCGGCCTTTCATTTTTTTTCCTCGTTTTTCACTATAATATCACTGCCGCGCTCGAGTCGTATCGTGTCTCTGCAACACGCGACAAGTGCCCGACATCGCGCGTCTCGCAACGTCTATGCGCGATATAAAAAGAAAGAAAATATGCGAGCCGAGTCGGAGATCGGCTGTACTGCGGCAAAATATATCAGGATACGCTAATCATAGCTGCAGCGGCGCGTGCACTTGTCGCATCTTCTTGCTTTTATACGCATACGTTCGTATATATAGCTGCGCGCACATGTTACTCTACAAAGATGACAACCTTTCAGCGCGCGCGGCAAAGCTTATATGTGTATACGCATAGAGGATGAACTTTTTTCGTATAGAGCACCGCGCGAGACTCTTCGACTCGGTCCAACTACTATACCGCACGCAGACATTTACGTCGGATAAAATTATAATTTTGTCGGTACAAAAATAACGAAGATATATATACCTGAACGCGAGCCTCGGACAGCGAGACCCGGGTGGCGAGCTCCTCGCGCACGAACGCGTCCGGATAGTGGGTGCGCTCGAAGACGCGCTCGAGGGCGGCCAACTGTTGCGCCGAGAAGGTCGTGCGGCTGCGCCGAGGTCTGCGGCCTGCCTGCTGCTGCGCGACTCCGCCACTGGCACTTGTGTTGTTGTTGCTGCTGCTGTTGTCGTTGTTGTCGTTTACGCTCGATGCGTTGCCGTTGCAATCTGTTGTCGACGACGACGACGAAAAAAAAAAAAAACTATTTACTTGGAACGCAGCATCGGTACAGCAGCTGCTGTTTCTTATGAAAATAATAATGCACAATCAGACGCGCGCGATCTCCCCGATTGATTCCGTCAATGAAGCTCCTTGTTGTCTGCTGCCTCGAGTTCATAATACGTACCTAAATTGCGATTGCCTCTCGACAGCAGCCTCGAGACGGTGAAGTCTTGGGGCGCGTGGTGAATCGCGCCAGCGGAATTCTGCGCGGCTAACAATTGCTGCTGCTGTTGCACATGACCGTTGCCGTAATTATTGCCGCTCGACAGATCCGCGTGCAGCGTCGTTGCCGTCGTCGCCGTCAGCATCATCGGTATTATTTTATTTCACGAAATAATCATAATTTCTGCACTGCACGTCGTTGATTGAAAAACCCACACATGTAAAAAAACACAACACTTGCACACGCACCCACTCACATTCACGTACACGTACACGCATATATATTTATTATAATAATGTAATCAAAGCGGATCTCGGGTATCTCGGGCGCGCGCCACTAACGAGCTTTTAACTAATATAATTCGATCATCCGTGGACTCTCGAGACTACGCGCGCGCGCGCGCGGCTACCGTATAACCCCTCCTCGCCTTCTCTCTCTCTCGTTTCGAGAGTGCCAGAGAAATGTCATATTTCTGTTTGCTTCTTCTTCGAGATAGAGAGAGAAAAGTGGGAGCTTTGTACGAAATCTACGCGTAGTTCACGGGCCCGCTGCACTGTATATATAATATAATTGCATTTGCTGGCACGCGGACGGACGGACGGACGAGCGACTAAAGGCAAGTGTCGCGCGCGCGCCCCCCGGCAAATTGCCAACCGACGGATTCTCTTTTACCAAGCGTCTTCTCTTGGCTCTCTTGAAGAATTAGAGCGCGATATTCTTCTCTTTCTCTCTTGTCAAAAGTAGGTGGAGATTCCAGCTTGTATACATGATTTGCGGCTCCACCCTCGTTGACGTCTCATTGGCCGCCCGCAAGCTCGCTCTCTCTAGCGCTAGAGCTTTATCATTATACGCTTCGCTTTGTATTCTTTGTTCGCGATCGCTTGCATGCGTGGAAGCTATGCGCGTTATAATTGCGAAAGCTCGAGACCGAGAGTCAAAGTTTAATGAATCACACATTACGCATCTCGACTTCGATTGGCCAGTGCTGGTTGACTCGTTTTGCATAACGCGTCGTTTTCGATGAGCTTATACACGTCGCAATTAGCACGATCACGATCGGCAAGTATGACATGGTTGGAGCGTGATTGATCGACGACCGATTGGAGCTTTTTCATTCAATTATACCCGCAAGTATATATATCAAATTTACGAGCTTTCGATGATGTTCTTTTCACCTGTTATAAAAAATATATGCTTCTTAGCTTGCATAATAGTGGGAAGACGATTAGATCGCGTTTGCGCTTCGAATTGATGCAGATGCGCCGGCGCCCGTCGATGAATAAAGTAATTGTGAATAATCGTGTTAACTCATCGAGTACGAGTTATATTCTAGCCATGATATCAAGCTAACAAGTAGTAGATTCATTAATACAACAATCGCATCTCGATTGAAAAACGCTCAAAATTGTCGTCCAATTACCTCTCTCTACATCTTACTTTACACGTTTTTAATTGTATTTTTTTTCTTCGTCTTCGTATAAATCTCGTACGTTCACTGGCATACAGCGACTCGAGGTTCTCTACACATACGCACATCGCTCATAGGCATGCATGATCATGCTAGTGACCCGTCGCTCGCTGGTAGCTTTCATGTTTCCGCTCGTACGCGCGCTTTTTTTTTCTCTCTTTCTACATATCCGAGGGTTGATGCAACGCTACTAACGCGAAGCGGGAAACGAAACGAAGAGACCCGAGACGCATGTCCGCATCGTATGTAGTGTAAACACATACACGAGGGGGCCGATATAATATAATATGGTTACAGTACTGTGACGTATCATAGAGAAGGAGCGAGTGTTCGAGTTTCTACAATATATAAGGCACGCTGATCTCGATCTCGGAAGCTGCGCAGCCTTGAGGTCTTTTTTGTTGTTGTTGTTGTCGTTGCTTTTTGGTCGCTCTCCGAAGATGTGCGCGGTATCGTATTGTAACGCGCGTTGTGATACACGGGGGGACCCGCATACGTAGCCAGCAGGCAGCTCCTCAAATTTTTCAAATCGCGACTGCAAATTTTTGCGAAAAAAACAAACGAGTGACGCAATAATCGTTGAATTTTTTTTTTTATTTTCTCGTTCGAAACAATGCCGTGGCAAAAAATGCATCTTCTCGTAACCGACGCACTTGGTAATAACGCCACCGAGTGCGGCTGACCACATATATGCACTTCAGAGAAAGGCATATAACTTTCGCAAATATTACCGACCTTTTGTTCGACGAGAATAGCAAAACAACAAAAATCATAAATGTCCGATTTATTGCATCCCCTCGAAAAATCATCGCCGTGAATATATACATGTGCTCTGCATATGGAATAATTCAACAAACTTATTGATACGTAAAAATTGACTTGCAGCAGGAGTGACGACGGCTGCTGACCAAACCATCGAGAGGCCCGCAATAATGAAGATATCGTTTTTGGCCGCAACAATAATAGGCCGAGGCAGAGTTATGTATGTATACCGCATTCAACGTCATCGCGGGGCTTTTGCACGCTGGACAACGGCCGCAGCAGCAGCGGCAGCAGCAGCAAAAAAGAAAAGAAGGAGAGGAAAAAAAGTTTGGTAAAATTTATGTACTCCGTTTCGCACGTACGTACAATAATATATATACACGTATTTCGTGCAAAATCATTTTTGACCCTTACCCCCCCTTTCGGGAATTTATATACTCAGCGATCGTCGTGAATGGCGAGAGAGAGACTAGAGAGGGTAATATACAACACACGTGAGATACGCTGTACAGTACGATGACCATTGCTCGCTCGTACATGCGCTGAGCCAAAAGCGTATTATGAAGAAGTCCGTGACTCTATTATGTAAAAAGTGCAGCGCGCGGCTCATTGTTGCGAGTCAGCGACGTGTGTATACGTGTGCACTTCGTATACATACGTTTATAGGCAATGTGCTGATGCCTTTTTTTGCGCGCATTTATTCGTAATTCGGGGCCAGTACTATATAGGTCTAGGCGATGTACGTTGTGTATACGCGCGAGCGAGCTGCGCGAGATGACCGTTTTTGGGGTGCTTTCGATCGGATTTCGATGTACATATAGATGTAGGGCAGCAGCTCGATGCACCAGAGAGAAAAACTTTTTACCCGATTTATTTTTTCGTACATCTCGTTTAAGAGTGACAGCTATTGCGATCTAATACCTCTCTCTTATTTTTTGATTGACGCGCGAGAGTAGATATTTTGACAATTTTATTGAACTCGCGTGTCAGCTTTGATTAGAACGGTGGGAAATTTTTTCTCTCTCGATCTCCCTGCGCATGGATCTCGACCACAGGTTTTTTTTATATTAAATATAATCAAAACTACTATATAAATTCCCACGGAAATGCAAGTTGATTTTTACAATATCATATGTATAATTCATGATCATCGTTTCCTCTTAACGAATACATACCCACACTCATGTACTAGTTATAGGTGCAACATTGTATATAATACAGTCTAATAATAGTACGATGTATAAGGTCGTGTCCCGCTCCCGACGACATTTACACGACTGTCATAATGTTCAACTCGAATTCGAGTGCACACCGTATAAAGTGCACCGACGATCGCCGGACACTTATAAGCTCGCAACTACGTGACATGCTACGATATCCATACGATATGCTGCCTTTTATTTTTCACTCGCGCACGCGTCGCTGTCGTTCACGATTTTCGGCGTCGACGTCGCTCGTCTATTTTTTTGTTAAATTTAAAGTTCGGAAGCTAACGATGTAAAGACTCCGTTCCATCGGTGAGAAAAATTGGTACTCTCCAAACTCACTTGTATACGCGCATATTATAATATTTTTGAGTCTTCTTACTCTTAATCCCTACGCACGATACACGCGGATATTCGTATATCATATACGTATCATAGACCGCACAACGACGATCCACACACGCGTATATGATTCCAGGAAACTCATCCGCAAAGTGAGAGACGACGCGCGCGGCGCAATTTTACGTCCCGTATAAACACCGCTGCACTTTCCGAATCGCATCGCGCACTGCGCGCATTATACATTTATATACGATCGTGAGCTCGCGACTTTGAGCCGGGCCGTATACGTATACGAGCTCGCAGTTCTATTTTGATAATTATTGTTGAGTTGTGCGTGCGCGTCGACGAGTATCCTGCGGCAAATGTTGCACATACACATAAGTATACGCCGCGGAGTTTAGTCGCTTGACGGATGGCCTCGCGCCACCATGAGAAAGCCGTTTCTTAAGCGTCGATGACTTTACACGCAGCGGCGTCAGCGTCAGCAGAGAATTAGCTCGACTCGAGCTTTATATTACGTTCTTTACTTTTGTGTCCTTTTTTTTACTCTTTTTCCCTTATATTCCATATAGTCCTTTTATTTTTTGTCAATGCGGAAATACGGAGTACACAGGCGCTGCGTGTAATGCGCGCGCGATAACCCTCGGAACGTATCGCGTTATAATGGAAGAAAGAAAGAGAAAAAAGGAACGAGACGGATTCGGGATCCATTGTGACGGGCCGCGATGTACCTTTTTCTCTTTCGAAAGGTCATAAATAAGTCGGTGATCTCGTGTATACATATAAGGGCTGCGATGTGTATAAATGTCGCACAATGCTGCGCGTGTATCTCGTAAATACACACCCAAAGTACGTAAACCACCGCGAGATTCGTCGTTGCCGTTTTTTTTTTTATTACGATCTCGATCCATACAATACATCCTAAAACAACGCGACGATATTTTAATGGATATAATATAATATAATATCGGCATATCGGCATATCGACGTGCAAACACGACGAGATCGTGTGTGTACACACGATACAACGAACTTTTTTTTTATTATTCTTTTCTTTTTTGCGTCGCAGTGCGGTTCGTTCGCGCTCGCAGTGATCGATTGACTTTTACGATCTCGCGCGGCGGCGCGGCGCGTCGCGCATCATCGAGCACGCACACACACACCAGCTCGCGAATCCCAAAGTTTGCTCGTCTGCACGCACGATGGGGTCGAAATGCCGAAAATCAATCGATGCGTTTACGCTGCTTTCTTTTCTCTCCTTTTTTATTACCCCCATTGCGGTGTAATGAGTGCAGTGTATGTGTGCGTGCGGTAACACGTATCGTAATACGAATGTATAAATCAGTGGGTAATAGCATTTTTTTTGTCCATCTACTTTTTTCCTGTATTTATATGCACGTATATCGATGCGCAAAAAAATTCGGCCTCAGCTCGTGCATATAATTTCACACGGATCTATTTAAGAAATAATTTACAAACCATTTTATTGCGACCGTAGGTAGCTCCCGCGGCTATAGCCACCGCGACGAGAAGATATCAAGAGAAAAAAAATCGATGGGAAATTTTCTTACGTATACGTATCCGCGTGCTCACGGTCAAAAATTCGTTTCCGATTTGATTGTACGCGATTCGCCACGGTATCTCTTCGGCTCTTCTATTCCTTCCTTTTTTTCCGTCGCGTCTGCCGACTGCGCCAAAACCGATGTATAATTTACATCAAATTTGGAAAAATATATGAAGGGGGCTCGGGTGAGTTATGTATACACAAACGCAGCGACTCATCGAGCTATGTACGTATACACATTGTATGCAGTTTTTTTTGCGGATGAAAAAAAAAAAAACGAAAACACACAGTCGAGGGTAAAAAGTATCCACGGAGCGTATGGGAATTTTTTCTTTTTTTTGCACGACTTGCGGTTACTTCGTTTTTGCCATCCTTCTGGCGAGCAACAGCTTATATTATCAAACGAGAGTATTTAATCGTCTTAATATTAAGTCATCCCCTTTCGAGACGAACTGCCCTAATATGCGCGCGTGCGTGTGTGTAATGATCTCGGCACTAATGATCTCGATCTCTCCAGGCGGCATTGAAAATCTCGCAGCGGGGCGTCTTCCTTATTCTTCTTGTATAATCTCGAAAATCGTCGTGAGAGATCATCGGCGCGATGAAAACATTACCCTCGAGTCTCGAAAGACTAATGAAGAGTAAATGTAAGGCAACGTAATGTCGGAGCGATGGTGCTTTTTCGCATTTTTATCTTTATTATGTATGAAAATCGGGGTAGAGGATCGGTGCGTGTGTCAGCGACATCAATTGGGACAGATGCGCGTGTGTAACGATACAGACGAAGAATAATCGTCCCTCGACTCAACAGCTCGTCTCGTACGAATACCTATATGTCTTTCGAATTTATAGCCCTGGACACTCGTAGACAGTCGAGGCGAGGCATCGTAAAAATCTTCAGAATTCGAGAGACAGAAAGTGAGAAAAAAAAGTCATTGCAGAAAATAACTTTTCCTTGCTCGACTCCGTGTATGTACTACACATCGTCGCATGATACCGGCAATTCTTAAAAAAACCTTTTCTCTGACTCTCGTTTTGGCTTTGAGGCATCGTATAGCTAAAGTAAAACAAAACCAGGTTTTGTAAGAAGGAAATTAAAATGGTATCGATATGAGTGGATTGTGGCCTGGTAAAAATTTATTTCGTTCGACTTGAGTCGTATTCGAAGCTACGGTCACCCGCGTAGTCAGATTTGCCCACTAGTGATCGGCAGGCGGATTTTTTTCTAAAGGATTACAGGCAGCTCGATTCTCTAAACGGAACATTTTTATCGAAGCATAATGTGAAATAATCCTAGTAGGAAATGTTGAAAATATGATCTCGTGTGTGTATTGTTCGACCGTTGTGTTTATCGTATTCTTACGTATATGAGCGCGGGAATACAATGTTGACACGAGGTCTATTGTACATTTCTGTAACCGTTAGTATTGATAGAATCGGCATTATTGCCGGATGTCGTACACATCAAATCGTAATATTAATTGATCTATTCTACGCGAAATACTCATTTTATTCACTGATCATCGAATAGTTTAAAATACACAGTTTGATCGGTATCGGACTATTTGATCGAGGACAAAAATGGCACTAACTGCATTGAATCGGGAGTACTTTCTCCGAAAAGATAACGCTGATTCTCTCATTAACTTAGTAAATTATATAAAGAGCAGAGGAATCAAGCAAGAACATCTAGAGGATGGAGAAATTTTAATAAATATGATTCGTAACGGAATGAGAAGATTTGTGAACGATCATCCCTCCGAAGAACAATTGGAGGAATTTAAAGATACGATTCTTGAGTTTAAAATAGATTATTTGAAGGAAATTAGTCTGTATCGGCTGAACCATGGCATTTTGGCGATCGCGTGCCTGGAGTATCTACTGTTTCCTGGGTCAAGCGATCAAGAATATTTAGAGTTACATTGTTGCGGCACAGCAGAGGCTACCATGCTATATATTATGCTGGGTCCAGTACGGGAACCCAACGACGACACAAAGAGAGCGGCAGCATCTTTTTTCTCCTGGCCAGATCGTTTAAGAGAAAACGGATGCTTGGAAGCGGTAAGATCGTATTTGCGAGGAATTCATATCGACGATGACGAACAGGACTACATACGTAACAAATCCATCGAAGTAATGTGAGTGAATTTTTAAAAGATTATATAATTTTTTACTCTGTAATAATTTTTAATTTTCAGTAATGAAATGGCAGAAAATGTATTAGATCCCGTGAGAGATCATTCACCTGTGCCTTTGCCTGTGCCTGTACCCGTGCCTGCGAACGACCAGGAGCCTCGACCAGTTTCACCAATGTCGGTAGATGATGATTATTCATCAGCTGTATCAAAACGAAAAGAAGTTTATATAATTTTTTACTCCATAATAATTTTTAATTTTCAGTAATGAAATGGGAGAATATGTAATAGATCCCGTGAGAGATGATTCACCTGTACCTCCGCCTGAGCCTGTACCCGTGCCCGCGGACGACCATGAGTCTCGACCAGTTACACCAATATCGGTAGACGATGATTATTTATCAGCCGTATCAGACACAACAGGAAGTGGGTATAGTCAACGCATCCGGTATAATACAATGGACCAAGTATATTTTCGTCAAAAAATTCATGCAGATGCTATCATTGGATTGCAAAATTATTTAATTAAGCATAATATTCAACGACATCATTTAAGTAATGATGATATTTTAAGAGATATGATTCGTGCGACGATAGGAAGACGTCAGAACAACGACCCTACGGAAGAAGAAAAAGCAACGTTGAAAAGAACGATTTTTCTTTATACGCTCGACTTTTTAAAGGCGATTAATTTGTATCGTATAAATGATGGCATATTGTTGGTCGCTTGCATCGAGTTCGTCCTGTATCCCGGCAAATCTGATAAAAAGTACAACTCGATATATCTCAGCAGTTACCCAGAGGCGAAGAAGGTATATACAAAACTGTGTGGCATTCCAAGAGACAGTAAGCTCAAAATGGCCATCCTCAAATCGGCTAGACGTTTTCTTTTTTGCCACAAGTATGCAAGAAATAGAGAATACTTGGAGAAAATAAGATCTTATTTGCGAGAGCTTGTCCGAAGAGAACCCCTAGACGACGAAGAAAAAAAATTCATAAAACAAAGGACCGTTCAATTGATGTGAGAGAATATTTTTAATATAGTTAATATAATTTTTTACTTTAAAATCATCTGAAATTTTTCAGTACTGGCAATAAAGATATCCAAATTATTCAGCCGCCTGAAAATAATACGGATCCCGCCGAAGACCATTCATCAACTTCGTCCAAAGCTCCTTACATGAATCGAGAATATTTTCTCAAACAATCTAATGCGGATCTTATTATTTCTTTAAGAAAACATTTAATTGATAACGATATTAAAAGGGAAAATTTAGATAATAAAGATGATTTAATTGGTATTCTACGTGCGGGAACGAGGAGATCTAGTAGCTACGTACCTACGACTGGAGAACTAGAAACGCTTAAACGTACCCTTCTCAATTTTACCATTGATTATTTGAAAGAAGCTGATCTGTATCGAATGAATCGTGGCATATTACTCGTGGCCTGCCTGGAGTGGTTACTCTTGCCTGGGGAAGACGTAGAAAAATATTTAGAGATATATAACTGCAGCCAGTCAATGGCGACCAAGTTGTATAATAAACTGTGTGGTTTTCCAGAACAACACGAACTCGACGATGCCACAGTGAACTCGGCTGAATGTTTTTTTCGAAACAAAAAGTTTTCAAATGAAAATGGATGCCTGGAAACAGTTAGATTATACCTGAATGGAATTGTTATGGATGATGAGAAGTTGAAATTTATAAAAGAAACATCAATTCTATTAATGTATGTAAATCTTTTAAAAATGATTGATAAAATTTTATACATTAAAATTACACTTAATTTTCAGTAACGATAAAGCAGCCATGGACACTGTTCAACCGCCATTAATTATAAAGCTTCTCATCGAGCCTAATACGCCCAATTTATTTGCAAAACACCAGTCTCAACTATCCGCCCCGAAAGAAGCCCCGAAAGAAGCGCCGGTAGAAACGTCTAATCGTCGAGCACGCGTAGTATCGGTATCACGGATAAGCGACGACTTTGCTCAACTTTACCAGCCTGGTCAGACAGTATTGGCGATCAGAAAGTCAGATTCGAATTTCTGGCCAGCCAAAATTATGGACATTGGCGATTATGTGATGTATGTTAAGTTTTTTCCACTGTTAGGAGAAATGGAAGTCATTACAATGAAAGAAGATGTAAAAGCGTTTAGCTTAACAGGAATCCATAATACTATTCACGCTCGAAGTCCTGATTTGACGCGAGAATGCTTTATGAATGCATTGGCATTGGCTTGTGCGGAACTTCAGGAACGAATGTTTTGTTAATCCAATTTAATGGCATTTTAAATCTTAATTATAATAAAATTTTACTTTTAATCTGAAAAAATAGTCATTTTTATTATCAATGTAGTAATTTCATCAATGCTACAATTATTATGACTTGGTTTTACTTAGCACGTTTTGATAACTTCGAAATCTCATGCCTTGATTTGTAAATAATATTATTAAATTAAATTTAAGCTTGGAGCTATAATCGTCTTCTGTTGCTAGAACGCGGTACTTCGCCGCGAATGACTTGATATCGCTAGGCTGTGCGCGGAGCTGTATGAGCGAGCACGAGTCGGCCCTCTTGGCAGATCGACATTTTTCCAAAGTACAGTGAGCACAGCCCAGCAGTATTCGCTACTCTTTTCGCGTTTAGCTACAGTTTTATACGTGAAATCATCTCGGAGAGATTATTTTTTTTACGAAAGTCCGAGTGACAATAATGGAATCCAGTGGTTTCTTCGACTGTGCCGACAGGTAGTTCTTATTTAACGAGTACGAAGTTATAAAAATATTGTAACGAAATAGTTGATTCCATTGGGGTTATTTCAGAGAGAAAGAGGAGCCCAGCGATGAGTCTCGCGTTGAAAATAATCGTGAAAAGACTGAAGAGAAATCCGATCTACGAGATCCACGAGAAAATTCAGTGAGTGGCGATAATTATACGTAACTTCTATTTGTTTAAATCTAAATTCTTACGTAGGTTTCTTTTTTCAACAGTCAGATATTCTTCAAATATGCGGTGTTGAACGTGAAAGCGAACTTGATGGTGACAGGAAAATAGTTATTGCCGTAAATTCATCAGCAGTCAGTAAAATCACCAATGATTTTAAAAATCGCTGGAAAGATGTACAGCAGGAATTTTTTAGTGAGGCTGTAGAAGAATCGAATTCGTATCTTGACCGCGAACTCAACGACGATGTGCAAATAGTTTTCCAGGACGAAGATGTAAAGTCCCAATTTTATTCATCGGTGGTTGAAAAAATTGCCATTCATTCTCCAAATCATTCGCAAAATGCAAAAGATAGCCATGGTCACAGTGATCAAAGCATAATCAAAGTAGAATCCATGGTGGAAGTCGCACAGGATTTTTTTGACGATGCCGAAGAAGAATCAAATTTGAATCCCAAGCGTGAACTCGTCGAACAAACAAACATCGATACGGTGGACGATCGATGCATTACCCACTCGTGTGCAAAGATCTTTTATCGAAGGGTTATCTCGAAGCTCATATTCATTCGGTGCACAGGGGTGTATCGCGTAGATGTGGCAATTGTGGAAAAATTTTTGCACTGCTAAGCAACCTCCTCATGCACGTAAAAACACACGGAGTCAACGACGCGCACAAACTCGATAAACGCGGAGAAACGTTTCAACGACGAGAAAAATCGCCAAGCCCACACTGATTCGGTGCATCGCTAATGTATGCCAATTTCATAAATATTTTGTTACTCCAATGTATTCTCACTGTGTAAAAAATTACGTTGAAATTTAGATAAAATTAATAAATTATAACTTTTCAAGTTTACGCAAATTTTACAACGCTAGTCCTAGATCCTGCAAGCTTTGCTTCCCGACTCATACTTACGTCCGAAGCTCTTCTCGCTTTTTAATGCATCAATTTTTTTCTAAAATCATACCATTTAAATGAATTTTTCCTCTCGGTCATTCATGAATGCCCAGCTGAAAGCCAAAAAGCGAGTCGGTGAAAAATCCCTTACGATTTCGTCACGAGGAATGCGGCTCGTACAGCCGCGCTCGAGTACCGTATACAGTAATAGAAGGGCCTCCCCGGGCTTCTCTCTACAGCCTCGTTAATTTATGTCTTATGGTGTACAGACGGTATAGTGCCTATAAACCCATTGTCAGGCGTGCGTATACTGCTCTCGTCTCGGCCGTGTCCACGATTAGGTACTTTTAATTCGATCGCGTCACGCTGGCCACCGGACATGAGGCCTAGCCGCATGTCCGGCATAGTACGCGCACACACATACGCATCTGCGGAAGTATATGTACCGAATATATATATGTGCTTTTCTCGTTGCAGCTCTCTCTCTCTCCTGATCCAGTTGAATTTATCTGGCTGAAAATTTAAGGCGTCACGGGATATTAGCCGAGGAACATATATCTGAAAGCAGCAGTAGCAGCAGTACTACAGGGACAAATGAAAGATGTGCTCTCCAGACAATTGCTCGAACTCTGATAGCAGCTAGCTCGAAGCTGCCTTGCATCGCAGATACATCATCAAGAGACAACTGTACTTTATACTCTCGTACTGTGCATCGGCCGTTGTTCAAGTATATTTCACATAAAGTAGGCTTTGTTGCTCCAAGTAATACATACAGTGTGTAACGATTTTAAGTTCTTACGCGGTCCGCGCTGAATGCAATAAAGAACGTGTGTGGTGTGGCTTGCGTCGAGTCGCAACGAGCCTCTGTAATAGTGCAACATGACTTAATCAATTTTTATTAGCTGCAGGGCCGAAATGAACGACATAATGATGATTATATAGAGCATATCTTATCTCGTAGAATATTAAATAAAAAAAAATAATGATAAAAACAGATGCCGTTTCTTTTTTTTTCATTACTCCGAAATTTACGACAAGTCGCTCGGTGGTTTATCGTCTTGGAATTATTATATAGCTCGCTTTTGAAAGCCGCGTGCGATACGTTGTAAACTCGCACGGGGTCTTCTACGTGCGGATGCACCTCGTGCACGATAGATCTCGAGTCGACGATAAAGAAAGGGGTTAAAAATTAACATATTTTACGAGGTCGGCTCGGTAAACGCGTAAGACTCTCGCGGGTGGGATGCATGATAATAATAATAAAAAAAAAAAAAAATGAAGCTACACGCGCGTATACGTTTCAACATCTGCCACGCTCGCGTAATCAATTTCGCGGTCTTCCACGCGTGCCGTCGTAAGTCGCAGGGTGCAGTTAACCTGCGTGACGCGTTTCGTTGTTGCTGTATAGTTGTATACAGCTCGACGGTCTGCCGTTCGGGGGAGAAGAAGAAGAAGACGACGAAGAAGAGAAAAAACGGAAAATTTCCCCCGTCGTTGCATGTCTTTTCTCTAGTCGTTTTAGTGTTATACGAGCTCCTTAAAATAGTTTTACATGCCTCTATGTATACCGGTGGAGGGCTGAAAAATTATAATGTTGACACGCGCGAGCGCGCGGGAAAAAATTTACCCACGAAAAAAAAAAAAAAATAATGCGTACTCGTCGACTCATCTTTTTAATTGCCCTACAAGCAAGTGAGAAATCTTATGTATGATCTATAAACACAAGTTTCAGAGTATTCCGCCGCGCGTCTGCGTCTTTTTTCGGCCTTCTTCTCGCTGGCGGCATCTCGACGCGCTAATTGGCGGGGGGGAATGACGCATGGCCCGCGTAATTGACCCAACGAGCCGACGGTGCATAGTCGTGCGTCGAGTCGTGTGTTTTATATAATCCCGAAAATGAAGATTCATTCGCGAACGTCGTCGTCTCGACGACTATCATCATCATCTTCGACCAAAGCGCGACGAAGGCAAAGATATAGATTATACACGACGGTCGACTTTGATTTTCTAAACCGCGATAATTGTGCATTATTAAGCGGAAGTAGTCTCTTATATACGTTTCTATTGTTAGCCGCGCGTATATAACAAGCCGTAATTTCCAACGCGCCCCTAAGGCATTTATATACTTATGTATTTATACTTATAACAGGCAGATATGTACGCGCGATACCTACGTGTATGTAATACACCTTGAAAGAAAACAATTAGCCAATTCCTAAGCAAAGTGCCACGACACTTGCGACCTATAAGTGTGTGTATACCTCCCAGCGGGTGCGTGCGTTCCGACGTGCAGCCGATCTTAATCTAATCGTCACGCGGCATTTTTCAGTCTCTCTAATCACAATCAATTACTCGCTACCATCCAACGAACAAAAAAAAAAAAAAAAACACCCGCGCGAATATGTAAAAGTGGCTAAATTTTGGGCGCGTACGAAAATATCTATGAAATATTCCCGCGTATATTAATGCAGACCCGAACGACGACGCGCCTCGAAGGGGGTGCATACCGTATATATATAGTCTTGGAAGACGATCGCAGCGGCTAATTGCCAGCGACGTGCTGGGCCACGTGCTGTACGCAGATCTACATAAGTTTATGTTAATATTTTCGCGCGTATATTGCAACAACGGGTCGGTAGCAGTAGCCACGCGCGCCTCGCGGCGATTCTATCGCGCCGAGTGCATTTACATTATATGCAGTCCGTGTAGTACTACTATATATATACGACGATGCGATTCGATGAGCAGTGCATCCGATATATTATACATGTATGCGAACTCACGCACGGCGCACACCCTCCTGTGATACGTGTACACACGTCGTATTATAGTACTATATACGGTACAAGTAATGCAACGTCACTATGCATTACTACGCGCGTATTATGCTACATACGCAAGAGGCACCCCCTACGTCATAAACGAAAAGTTAAAAAAAAAAGGAGCGCGCCGGAATGAAAAAAATCGATGCATGCATATTTATGAGCGTACCACGCCGGTGCGTGGATGGATCTTACGTACGTACATCGGTATGACGATAGAGGCGGCGGCGGCGGGGGGGTCGGTCACTAATTCATGTGCATAAGGGTGTGTATATACTCGGGGCCGCTGCGCCGCCGGTGCATTTAGTTGTTGTTTTTTTTTTTTTGCTTTTGCTTTGTTGGGTCCTAAGCGTATACCGGCGCGTGCATGTGCACTTTTTGTTACTCGTTTGCATTATATTAGGTTTTATTGTATTATGCGCATAGGCTACTTCGTTACTTTATCAAATGCGCACGCGTACTCGTAGTAACGCGTACGAGTGTACCAGTCATTTTTGCATCCATGTTATTGTATCGATCGAGAGCTCGATTTGTAAAATAAACAGCGGCGTTATTATATCGTGTCTTAAAATAAACAGAAAATTGTCCCCCGGCCCACACGCGGGGTCAAAATGTCACGAATCCTCGCCCATGGACCAATGTCAAATCGTTAAATCTCGCATAATCGTAAATCCACTTGGATCGGTCTCGGTCACGTTGTTATTAGTACTGCAGTTTCAATGAGCCATATAGCCATAGCTGACAAAAAAAATAAAAAAATAAAATAAAAAAATAATAAAAATAGCGCTCGCTATGCATAAGCTGGTTAATGACAATATGGGTGTACTAGCTTCGCTGCGTGCATTACATTTTATACATACACGTAACAGCTACGGGGCAAAAATCATGCCAGTGCATACAGCATAATGCATAATATATAAGATATACAATTTATACATACGTATGTACGTATATTTATTGTACAGGCGCGTCTACGCATGTATACGTGTGTGTGCAACAGCGTAACGGCGGCGACGCGCCGGTATCGGCCGAGTGCATCGTGCACACATACACGCACATAAGTAACCCCCCTGTCGTGCACACACTCACACATATACGTCGGAGACGTGGCGCTGCACTATACACCGGCGCGCCGCGAGGGCAGTTGCATCGCGCCGAGGAAAAGTAATTACGCATTCGTTTCGGACAGAGAGAGAGAGAGAGAGAGAGGAAAGGGTTGCGTGGGGTGCATTATATAGCGCACACACGTCGCTGCATGTCGCGCGCTGCAGGGCAGGCCTACTACTACTATACGTATGGTGCACGCGCATTTTACGTATAGGGCACGAAATACGCGCGGCGCGCACCTTATGTCCAAAACGCAGTAGGTAGAAATGCATTTTAACGATGCAGTAATATATATAGTGCAGCTTGTTCGGTGCAGTATATGCATTGTATGTGCGCGCAGTGCTACACATATAGGGTTGCAGTTTATACGCGTATATAGTATATACCGTTGGCCGAGCAGCGACGCGCGCCGCCGCGGCCTATTTAGAGATGCATCGAGAGAGAGAGAGAGAGAGACCCTTGACTCGGCACTGCGTCGCATCTAATTGGACACGTGACGCGCGCGCAGTTGGCGATAATGTAAAACGTAAGAATATTTTATATCGCGAGGAGAAAAAAAAGTTAAAGGCACCGAGCGCAAAAAAGATTATCTCGGAGAAGGTGCCGCGTGCGTATACATTATTATTAAGAGCATTATTAGGTGTATGCTCGCGTCGCCACTTACATAAATTCGCGCGTTAATTGAGAATTATTACTCGAGCTATATACTGCATGCGGTTTCGTTCCGTTATTATTATATTGCGCTATTAACGTCGCAGTCGCATGAAATGTACATTAATTCATTAATGCATCAAAGAGACTGCAAAGAACTCGATTTGCTAATTTTCGATTACGCTACAGGTGGTAAGTACGTATATAACGAGCGATACACGATTTTTTTTCTTCTTCCTCGTTACAATATCAACTTCCTCGACGATTCCTTTGATCGAGACAGGATTTTTGTTTTAAACTAGTCGAGCGTGTAACCGTCGTCGCGCGTTTGCGTTATAGTATATAAGCGATCGAGAAAAACCAGTTTGGTGTCGATCGTACGTACAATATGTAGGCACGCGCCGCTACCGATGCTGCTGCGCGCGCGAGTCGATTATAATTACGTCGTCCCTTAATATACGTGTACAATAGTTGTATAGGGTCCCGCATTGCGATCGTCGAATTCGGTTTTAATTAACTGCGTGCCCGACGTATATACACTTTATACATATAACCGACTTTTTCCCGATCGATCCTCGATGACGATCCGTTTTTTTTTCGAATCTCGTGTCTGTGTCAATCGCGATGCGTTCGTGTAAATAATGGGACGACTACGAAAAAAAGATAAAAAAAAGGGGGAAGAGTAAATAAAGTGCAAAATTTCGTACAATGGGGTGGTACCGTATTTACATGCCACGTAATACTTGCGCAATCATTGACCTTAATTTGGTGCTATACGTGCCACTAGTCTTCGATCATCGATCAAAAGAAACGTACGCGTATAACGACAAACAAAAAACTGCAAAAGCTCCGCAGCTCGTAATGTGTGTTGTTGCGACGATGCAAACACCACCGCGTGGATGCCATGCCGTGGATATAATACATTTTTAGCTTTACACATCTATTATACGTAAAAAAATAGAAAGAAAGAGGAAAAAAAATCGGACTACAGTGCAAACAGTTTTATATACGCTATCGAATCGAGAGTCGGCGCACTAGTACTTTAGCCGTGCCAAAAAGGGGGATGAGTCTGTATTACAATATATAATGAATATCGGGGATCGAGCACGCGTATACGCGTATAAATATATTATATATGTGTACGAAAATTTTCCCCCGCAACGACAGTTGCATACGCGTAGGTATGCCTATGACACACACACACACTTATATAGTCGAGCGAGCTCGCAGCCGCGATAATATATTATTATTTGCGTGACCGAATGTGTACGTGATCGTTACAGGTATAGGATTTTTGCATGCGCATGTGGCCTCGATCGATTGAATCGACGTCGCGATATTGATTCGCAGGGTCGAAAATCGGGAA